ATATCTAATATAGAAACTTACTGTGAAATTGTTTTTCTCTACAGACTTTTCTGTGAATCGACAAAAAACACCCTTTCAAGTTAATCCCAAATATTTGTGCTCTAAGATTTACTTCATTTCCTACCGACGCATTTCCTTATTATGCAGATGACATACTGCTGAAATTAGACTTATTTCCTTAAGTTGGGATATCTCAGGATTAAATGTGTGGTCAAATGTCTCTACATGGACAGAAATTAGACTTTAACTGCTCCTACTTAAGATGATAGTAGGCTGTATGTGGTTTGACATCCCTGCTGCACATATTTGACTCGTTATACCCAAGGCTCCAGCAGAATACAAATCTGACTGTGAACCTAAAAAACAAAGTGAATATCATTCACTATTTAAAGCCTTTTGCCACACAAAAGGTTGATACTGGACTAAGGTGCAAAGGCCTCAAGGAAAACCTACATACTTCATGGGTAGCTTGGCAGCTAGTGTAGATATCCCCCCTGTTCACTTATCCATGCAGGGGGTGTATAAAGCAAACTCATGATAGGAGGATTGCTGTTGCCTGCTGTTAGAAGTGTGCTGAATTTTTACTTACCTCCATAACAACTGTACTTATATTTCTAATTTTCATATGTATCTCCTGAAAGATTTTCTCCTGCAGAAAGGACCCTGTTCTTTCACTAACTCCATAAGTGTTACGAGAAATTATGCTCGAGTATATAAAACTTCAGTTTTAACATATTGCCACAGATATTGCCACCACACCAGCCCTCTGCATGCCCTCCTTCACTACATCCATGACCCTCCTCTGCGGTTTTCTTCTTTTCCTCCTGCCTGGAAGATATAGCGACAAAATGATAATGGCTTAAAAATATAGCATCAATCCATATGATGCAAACTGTGTTTTTTCCATATGTGACATTGGAGGTGACAATTACTACCTTCATACTTATTTCTAACCAAGACTGCCAGATGCGTTTGGGGTGGGGATTGCCCCACCTTCACTTTACACCATTGTTCTACATTTTCTAATAAGCGATCCAATTTTCAATTATTCCTGTCCAATCAGTTCAGTGCAGACATTATGAAGTCTTTTTGTGTTGTGTTGACTGTTTTTTTTTCCCACTCTAAGGGCCCCTGAAATTTAACAGACTTCAAAAGACAACAAATAGATTTTTTTATGCTATTACAATTCATGCAGGCCCAATAGGAACAAATTCACGGAGAGCAGTTTTCATTTTTTCTAAAATTTTACGTAATAAATTTTGTATTCAGTGATCTTAAAGTAATAAAAGAGCGTTTTTTTGTCTTGTTTTTTTGTCATTTCTGCACAAATAGATGCACTTTTAAGAATCTGTAACTTTCCATTTCTTTATGTACGTATGCGTACATAGATACAGTGAAATGTATTCTTATGATAAGACTCTAAAAACAATCTATACATTAGAAAATTGATGTATCTCTTGATTGAAACCCCCTGAGGATCACCACTTTTGTTCTTGTTCCCTGTTTTATCTGAACTCTGTGCAATAACTGTTTTCTGTAAATTGTGTTTATTTATTTATTTTGCACATTTAAGGGTATTTGTGTGTTAATTTGCATGATTTTGTCCCCACTGTGAAGAGAAAGATGGTGGTGGTGGCTTGTAGGTAGGTGAACCCATCTTTCTATGGCAAGGTTACCTTTTAAAATCCCTGCTTTCAGCCTCTTCAGACAGTAATTTTGATTTTACTTTTTGAACCCCCACCACCCACCCACATATCAAATGAAACTGCTGCCTGCGTAACTACAAACTATCCCAAAACTAGATGCTTCTTGTGTTTGCCTTCTCTGTGGAGAAGGCAAATGAACTTAACAACTTCTTCAACAGGTTTGACCAGCCCACAACCCCCCCACCCTCACCTTCACTACAGAGTCCAATCCCCACTCTCCTACCTCCCTCGCTTCCCCCCCTTCCTGACACCATGACACCCCCCTCCTCCAATCCCTCTCTCAGCAGCAAGACATCTCCCCCCCTCCCCTCCTCCCAAACATCTCCCAGTGTCACAGTGGATCAGGTCAGGAGACAACTGAGGAAGCTTCGCCCCAGAAAGGCAGCAGGCCCAGACAAGGTGTGTCCTAGGATGCTAAAGGCGTGTGCTGCTGAACTTGGGGAGCCGCTACAACGAGTCTTCAACCTCAGTCTGCGACTGGGGAGAGTGCCCGCCCTATGGAAGACATCCTGCATCGTCCCAGTCCCCAAAAAGAACCGGCCCAATGAGCTGAATGACTTCCGACCGGTGGCACTGACGTCACATCTTATGAAGACTCTAGAGCGGCTCTTCCTCAACCTCCTCCGACCACAGGTACAACATGCCCAGGACCCACTACAGTTTGCATACAAGGCGGGTGTCGGAGTGGAGGATGCCATCCTGTACCTCCTACACAGAGCCCACTCACACCTGGATGGGGGAAAAGGCACGGTCAGGATCCTGTTTCTTGACTTTTCCAGTGCCTTTAATACCATCCGGCCCTGTATGCTTCAAGAAAAACTGAACAGGATGGAGGTGGACCCCTGCCTGGTGGCTTGGATCTCCGACTACCTCACCGACAGACCACAGTACGTCAGGCTGAAGGACATCACGTCTGACACAGTGGTCAGCAGCACAGGAGCACCACAGGGAACTGTGCTGTCCCCTCTTCTCTTCACCCTGTACACCTCTGACTTCTGCTACAACTCTGAATTATGCCATATTCAGAAGTTTGCAGATGACACGGCCATCATGGGGTGTATCTGGGATGATCAGGAAGAGGAGTACAGAAGTCTGGTGAGGAACTTTGTCGCATGGAGTCACACAAACCACCTGCAACTCAACACCTCAAAGACTAAGGAACTGGTTGTGGACTTCGGGAGGTCTAGAGCAGGTCCACTGCCAGTTCAGATAGAGGGGGAGGAGGTGGAGGTGGTCAACAAGTACAAGTACCTCGGGCTGTGGGTGGACAATAAACTGGACTGGTCATGCAACACAGAGCACCTGTATAAAAAAGCCCAAAGCCGACTGTACTTCCTCAGGAGGCTGAGGTCTTTTAACATCTGCAGGAAGCTCCTGAGGATGTTTTACCAGTCGGTGGTTGCTGGAGTACTTTTCTATGCTGTGGTGTGCTGGGGGAGCAGCACAGCAAAGAGGGACTCATCCAGGCTGGAGAAACTGATCAGGAGGGCTAGCTCTGTGGTCGGCATGAAGCTGGACACTCTGGTGACAGTGGCAGAGAAAAGGACATTAAAGAAACTGATGGACATTATGGACAATGCTGGGCATCCTCTGCACACGGCCATTAACAACCAGAAGAGTCTGTTCAGTGACAGGTTGCTTCTCCCAAAGACAAGAACTAACAGACTTAAAAACTCCTTTGTCCCACACGCCATCAAACTGTTTAACTCCTCTCTGGAGGGGAGAGGGAGGGGAAACAGGAGGACAAAGGAGGGAACAACTAAGCTGTAGTGCCTCTTCACCTCACTGTGCAATACCTTTTGTGCAATACTTTTGTAAATAGTCAACAGTGCAATAGACTCAATACTTGAAATGTGCAATTCACTTGTATTTTTATTTTTATTCCTATTTATTCTATTTATCCCCTTCGTATATTTTATTTATATTGTCTCTGTATTTATATATATATATATATGTGTGTGTGTGTGTGTGTGTGTGTGTATTATATATATAATATTCTGTAACTCTGTAACTTCTGTCGGTGCTGTGCTTTTTTGGAAATCGAATTTCCCAGAGGAACCCACCCGAGGGATTAATAAAGTTCTATCTAATCTAATCTAATCTAAAAGCAATATGCCAGTAATAACAGGAATTTCACACACAGCATTTAGCCAATCACCCGTACCAGTTCTCCCAGGGCAGTTTTTTGGTACTCATGTTGATTGCCTGGCAAAAAAAATAAATAATACAAAATCCTGAAGGCCACTGTGCCTCTGCACTGTGTCCCTCGTGGGGCTAAAAGTGGGTCAGATAAACTGCCGCCTCCCCTCAGGTTTTTAGCTCTGCCTGTTGTGAGTTTCACCGGCAGTGAGTCGAGCCCGGCTTTTCTCAGGTCACCGTCACAAAATGTAAAAACTGTCATCCATTCATTACGCTTGAGCTCCACTGTGGAGCTTATTACCTGTGTAATCAAGAACCTCATAGAGACCTGTCAGCGCCTCCCGCTACATGACAGATCAACTCTGTGAAAAGCAATATTGTCCACATAATATCCCTCTTTTATGAAATGACTGCTTCTCTAACAGAAATAAGGGGCTGGTTGACTGAACACAAATAGCATCTGCACAACATAATTATATTAGCACCATTACTGTCTTTTGTAATCTGTGAATTGATGAATATTTCACAATTTTAACACAAACAATTGTTGAATACAAACCAGAGAGACACGTAAGATCTGGGCGAGCATTTTTTGTGAAAAAGGTAGAGGTTCCAACACTGGCGTGTAGAGGAGCATTGTGTGTTACCAGCTAATCTCTGGCTGTCAGTTCTGCTTAAAATGGGGAGTTAGCTAGCCTAGTGAGGGACAGTGTGTTCATGCACCGCATCTATTATCTGTCACACAACATCTGGCACCAGGAAGTTGATGTGCTTCCTCATTCTGCTTTTTAAAACTCAGTCGCTGGGAAAAAATAAAGCAGATGGATATCTGCAGGGGCTGTATTCAATCAAGTAGAAAGAAAGAAACAAATACAGAGACAAACTAAATCCCAATAGTATACTGTATCTTTACCAGGCTCCATGGCAAATGCACAAACTCGACCACCATGATATATCCCTGTGAGATTGCTCTCAAGCTTCAATGATCAAGCAACTATGAGAGGAAAATGTTGTGCAAAACCTGGTTTGGGTCCTGTTTATTCTCTGGAGAGATGCAAACTTGGACCTCAGAGGCTGGGTGTGGCCATACTTACAATGAAGGATCTTTCTCAACAACGACACACACTGAGGGAGATTTGGAGAACAGATCCTTACCGTATTCTCTGTGAAATTGTAATCCAGGGAGTACTGTAATTTGCCCAGTTTCTGGTCCTCCTTGGGCTCTGCCTCTTTCTCCGTTTCAGTCAGCCCTGTCTCCGCATCCTCCTCATCCTTCAAGGCCTGAAGGAGACACCCACCAAGAGTCAGTGTCGCCTGTTTGCCGCTGGTGCTAGCACCCTGCCAGCCATTCCCCGCCCAGGTCCTGCCACCGGACCTACTCCTGTAAAAGCTCCCACTTGTTTTATGGTATACAAGGGAGAGGGGAGGGGGGGGGGGGGGGGGGAGCAAGCACTAAAACACCATAGCAGTTAACACCAGGACATGCTGTGTGATGCACTAAAACCCCGGGCCTGGTCCCCCGATGGTGCTTTTCTATCAATCTCTGGGTTTTTCAGTCTGAAGGGGGGGAAAGATCAAATGATGGCGCCAGAAATGAGAATGGGCAGGCATTAGTGGAAGAAGAAGGGTGGAGGGTGGAGAGAAATTAGAGAGAGATGATAAAAAGAGGCAGACAGAGAGAAAGAAAGAGATGCCTCTAGAAAAGATCATAGTAAGACAATTCCCTTGATGTTATTTCAGGCAGATCAAGTCTCTGGCAAAAACACATATCAACTGGGAACTGTCCGAAGTGGCAGAGAGTGAGAAGTGAAGTTGCCCTTTCCTAGACTGACACTGAGGTGAGGACAGCAGGTGGTGGCTCTGGTGATAGTGAAGGGGGTGTGGGGGGTGGAGGAGTTTGTTATAAGAACAACATGCGATTGAAGAGGCAAAGACTAGGTCTCAAGGTCATTCATTCAGCATCAAAAGTTGCCTTCCAAGAAGTCTCTTTCACTAGGCATGCAGAGCATTCTCTGTTGTACAAAACAGTGCTCTTATGTGAGTCCCCATTCCCAAAGTTTGGTTACATCCTCAAACATACAGTCGCATTGTCATCATAGCCCTAAAGGTTGAATGTTACCCCCTACGCCGATGGTAGCTAGAAGCATCATGCCAGCGGTGGGTGGGTAGATGTTGGTTAAAGGGGTTGTAATGTACCTCCCTGCTCCAGTTTGTCAAGTTGTGAAAGCAAAAGGCTGAACAACACTGATTGGTTTTAAAATTTGCCACTGAGCCACCTGGTCTCTGTCTTTGGTGAGCAAATCCAGTTGGGGCCTTTTTTTTTTTTCTTTCTTTTTTTAAAGACAGAAAAAGAGAAGCGGGTAAAATGATTGAGGAAATAATATTCCCTAATTTAACGAAAGTGTTTCCTTTAAACCAACTTGTGTGCGACTTTGCTACACCTGGGTTGACAGATGTGGTTGCAGATGCTGTGAAGCTTCCTTTTCATCACTAAGCTTCAAAAGAGCTTTTACTTGTAGAGCCTCTCAATCATTCTAGTTTGCTTGCCACCACTCGTTTGAAATGCAAATGAAAGATTCAAAAGGCAGGAGACTTTAGCTTGGCACGAGGATCAGTGTGGTTCAACCTTATCAATGCGCACCCAGTGTTTCTTTCATACATATATATGTGCATATGCAGCTTGTACACACATATATGCAGTCGATATACATGTACTGTATGCATAGTTACATATATTTGGTTCTATGGGAGTAGTAGTTGTTTTCAAGAGGCTACAAAAAAAACGTCAGAGCAGCAGGCTTAAGAAGATCCAACAGCAATTAGGAACCTACCGCCAGTGACCATCCCGAACAGTCATCAGACACAACACAGATAAGGAGGACATAGAAGGAAGAAACACAAATTAAAACAACCACACACAGGAGTTAACACACCAGAGTCTGGGCACACCAGGAGAAATGACCGCCTGCCTCGAAAGTGGCAGATTCACCAATCTCAGAGATTAGCTATTAGGGTGTCCAGTAACTGATGTCTTTTATTTTGATTAAAGCCTCTTTAGTTATAATTTTAAAAGCTGGATGGTGCAAAGACGGGAAGACTATTGGACATTAATGAAAACTCTTGTAATCTAACATGCTGCAGCGCTGCGTCGGATTGAATGACCTTGGTGGTTAATAAAGTTTTCCGCACTTCACTATTATCTAAGAAAATAAAAGACTCCTTAACATTTAAGTTATAATTAGCTCTTTTTCAAAAAAGAAGTCAGTCAAATGAACTAAGAAAACAATGTCAGTGGTTTCCGTCTACGTGGGTCCGACAGCAAGGGTGTTGCAGCAAATTAAACACACTGTGTGCACGATTCCACCGAGTGAAACGACGCTCTGCTGGTGCAATTAGTGTGCTAACTCCATATCAAGTGTTAGCGTGTCACCGTTTCCTCGTTCTGTGCAGTTGAAAAGTAAGAGTTTCGCCATTTGTGTATCATTTGGTGACGTCATTTCTCTGGGTGGATACCACTTCATTACACAGCAAACGTTACTCACACTCTTCAACAAGTGAGCAGGTCCTCATATGACCAAAACCATAAAAAATATTCAAAGAATGAATGAAAAGCACAAAAATTATAAGCAGGAGAAACAAAAGAGACTAAAAGGTTCTCTTAAATCTGAAGCCACCTTAAGTGACTTTAATTTCCTTTAGTAAAAAAAAAAGGCTGAATGCAACTCTTTGGCTGCAATAAACACATAACACACAGAAAATATATGTGGTACAGTAGCAGCTCTTGCACCAAAAAATGCAACTTATTGAGAGCTATTCACTGTTATTAGTCACGTAACTGCTGCACAGTCCTGGATGGCAAAACACATGAAAATCCAAAAAATTGCAGCATAAAATGTTGATATTCCATCAGTTTCAAGCCACAAATAGTTGCTAAAAACAGTGGCAATGGTTTAAATCTATCGTAAGGAGAGTCCTTCTCCTTAGACTGCCGTGTTTAGATTTTTGATGTAGAGGGGCAAACTGTTCTGCTGTTCGAAGGCTGGTTTATTCTCAGTTGCGAACACTCTCTGTTTTACTTCTTTCGAGTCAGCTTAAAGGCTGTTTAATTAGGCACAGGTGTAGCTGTTAAATACTTCTCAGGTAAATTCACACAAAATTTATGTAACAGGGCCCTGGTGGACTTGCTGGACGTAAAAAAAATTGCTTGAGAGGTGAAAATCACTGTGTCATTGTAGAGTCTTTACCTCACGATATAAAGCACCGTGAGCTCTCCGATGTTGTCATTATTATTATTATTATTGAAAGAATAGAATAGAATTTATTGCTTCATTGGCAAAACTATAGTGAGTGTTACTAAACCAGGTCATAATATATACACGTAATCCCTATGGCCTCCGTTTCAGACAGTTTTCTTCTACTCTTAGCTCTGTATAGTGACTAAAGACAGGAAGGGGATGTCAGGAACACATCCCGAACTGTGAACATTGGTTAAAGGAGGATTATTCTTAAATGTAAATCATGCCAAGCTATGGCAGTAGAGCTCAAGATTAAAATATATCACTGGAAATTTAGCGTACTATGTTTAAAAGGCACAACCTGCTGGACAAGAAGGATTGAATGTGGTTGGAATCCGTGTTGTACTGTTAGCTTTTCTAGCCCCTGTAAACAAACTGAGTCACTCCTGGATCCAATAAAAAAAACCAAACTTATATTTGGGTGGAAACAGCTAGAAGACAGCAGGGAAAAAAGTCTGGTTTTGCCATCCAGGTGGGCGCTACTATGATACTATGATGTTACGTGGAAACTGTGTATATAGTTGAAAATGTTCTCTTAACAAATCAATTTGGTGAACTAATTTGTAATCATACAGAATCAGATTTCCTAAAATTGTAAGAAAAAAAAATATATATATTTCAAACACAGCATCAAATATTTTGGCATTAAGCTTCCTATTCAATTAGGATTGTGGGGATGGTAATTTTTCAGAATTTTAATAACAAAAGTTAAAAAAGTCGTTACCTCGGTTTTGGCCCCATCTATGACGTCCTTCATGTTGATGGCATTTTTGCCCTTGTCTTTGCCCTTCTTTTTGTTTTTCTTCTTGAATATCCATTTTTTGCAGACACAGAAGCAGCAAGCTAACACCAGGATGATGGCCACAAAGGCAATCGAGACGATGGCCCACGATGGCACTGTGAGAAGGACAAACAACAAAGAGATGTTCAGAAGTAGGAGTGAATCTTGGAGGCAAGTGAAAAACATTTCAGTGAACACTCTGAACCAAAGACCTGAAAAGTAGAGATTGTACCAAATTACAGGTGAGATAAAAGCAGGAAAAGCGTGTGTGACTACAGAGTTGGTACAACAGATCAGCACTAAGTCCATCAAAAAGTGTCAAGACTCCTAAAGATCGGACCTGACTGAACGGCTTCAGCCAATTTAGTGGAAGTAACAGATGTTGGCATTTTCCACTTGCCATTTAAACAAAAGATTCTCAGACAGCTGACACTTTCACGGTAATCACCGGCAACACAGAACTTGCTTTGGAGCGAGAGCTGTGGTGAATTGGCAGGGTGTGCCGGAGAGGCATTAGCAGAGGTGTGACCATGACAATCCACTGATGCAGTAAAACCAAACGGGTTCACGGGGTGGCGAGGGGTTTGCTTTCACATTGTTCTCATGCTCTAAGCTTTCATATTACCTTTAAAAAATTTAATTGATCTTTTGTGTTTGGATTTAAGGCTTTGGGTTTCCTTTTAAATTTTCCCCAGAAACACTGCAGGTTTAGACAGAAACTTTCCTCCGAGGGAAAACTGCTGAGCCTAATCTCAGTGGTTACATTAAACCTGAACATTTTTAAGATAAAAAGCTGGAGAATAACTTTTTGGACCAGGCTGTCTTCCTTTTTAGTTTAAAGTTGTTATTGTTTTTTCACCTGCAAGTCAAATTTACAATGGACTAATTTTGACCTTTTCAAAAGAAAAAGAAAGAAAGAAAAATGCTATATTATTATTATTATCATTATTATTATTAGTCTACCCCACTGTGAAAACAGTATAATAGTCCATCAATGGTTCCATTGACCCTAATGTTTGTACCAGCAGGAATAATAAAGTTTATTTTATTACATGTGCCATTGCTTGTTTGATTCTTTTTTGCATAATTTGGGATTTTTATCCTGATATTAGATTAGTTTATCCGAATCAAATTCTTAATTGTAATTTAGAGACACGAACAGGGCTGACGACACACCAGAGGAACATCTTATTTACTGCATCTGTGCTGAATTAAATAAAACAATAACAGCTCAGTGTTAGTGTTAATTATTTTAAAGTACATTAACTTTAAACCAGAAGCTGATCCATAAAGTTAAAGCAGATGTTCATCCTCCCACATGTAACCTCTACTGTAACATCTGTTTATGTAAACGTGCTACCTAAAATGTCCCTATAGAAATAACACATTGAATAGGAATAATTCTCAATTTTGCTGCTTTTGTTTTTCCTATTTTTTATATAGTTGATGCTGCTTCACATCTTGTTAGTGTGAAAATACAAAAACCAGAGGTGTGGACTCGAGTCACATGACTTGGACTCGAGTCAGACTCGAGTCATTAATTTTATGACTTTAGACTTGACTTGAAAAAATGTTCTAAGACTTGTGACTTGACTTGGACTTTTACACCAATGACTTGGGACTTGAATTGGACTTGAACCGGTTTACTTGAAAAGACTTGATATTTTACCCCAAATATAAAATGTAACATGCATATAGAGATTGAAAATGTGACGTCATTCACGGGTAGAACCGCAAAGGATTCTGGGAACTCGTGGCAAGCGGTACTAGCGCACGCAGGCTTTCAATTAAAATCAGTTATACAGCGATAAAAAGAAACACAAAAATGTCAAGAAGCTGTTGTATTATTAACTGCAATAGCCGGTCGCATGACAGCCACGGGAAGCCGACGGGTAAAGAGATCGGTTGTTATCGGATTACGTCGTTGAAGAGAAATTGTTCGAGCCATGTTTCCGAAGTAACAAAGACGCGACGGATGGCCTGGATCGCAGCCATTCAAAGGTCAAATATAACGTCCCAGAACCCTCCAGCTCACATGTTAGTCTGCTCCAAGCATTTACACAAAGGTCAGTGTTTTTTAGTAGTTAATACGTCACTTTCATAACATAACTGGTGATATAGGTTACAAGCAAGTCTGGCGCTGAACAGAAATCGACGCGCTATGCTCCTTTGTTTATTGTGCATAAATAGTGAATTGTCCTGACACAATATTGTGTTTCGCTTCTGTTATTATGGTACATTGACAAAAACATATACTTTTATTCACAGGATAAAACAGTTGTTTTGTATCACTAATTGCCCAGTACGATTACAGCATACAGTATTATTGTCACTGCTACATTTCTGTGATGCTACCAGAAATTATTTCCACTACTAATTAATTACCGTTGAGCTCAAAGGTCCTATTAATAAACGGTTAAGGAATGTGTATTTATGACGACGATTTGTGAGACTGGTAAACTTATGATACGTACGATGGTCTTTACTTTCTACACGGTGCATTTCAAGGTCCTGCACCCATCCGTCGGTAAACTGTACCTGGGCTTGTTGCAGTGACCTGAAGTTACTAAACTTCATGAGTGTGTGCACTCACTCCAAGAACCGTATGATTATAAATATGCATATAAATATGCTACGATGAGATAGCTGACTTCATCTAACTAGCAAATGTTGTCCAGGCTACGTTGGTGATACAGTTTTTTTAATGTGTATGATATTTTTGTCATGCGATTTTAAAGCCGGTCCTACAAGCGCATCCAAGAATAACATGCAGCTTATCTCAGAACTGTTGGTGAAAATTATTCTTGGAGCTAGGTTTAATTGAGCTGCATTTTAAAGAGGTGCAATTTCACAATTTGTGTATATTTTCTAAGTTCACTATTTTGTCATGTGTTGAGAAAAACACAGAGTTAAAAATTACATGGTCTAATATTTACATTTAGCATAACTGCAACATTCTTTTTTCGTTGTTTTTTTTTTTTTAAGACTCGAAAGGACTTGAAATTCAAAGTTTCAGACTTGTGACTTGACTCGGACTTTTACACCAGTGACTTGAGACTCGACTCTGACTTGCCTGACATTACTTGAGACTTGACTTGAGACTTGAGGATAAAGACTTGAGACTTACTTGAGACTTGCAAAACAATGACTTGGTCCCACCTCTGACAAAAACATAACAAAAAGTAGCCAATTAGTGTAAAAAACACGATGATTTTCCACGTTTTTGAGTCAGCAACCACCACTGTTCTGTTCAGATCAAATGTTAACACTAGACAAAAACAAAAACAGCATGATAATATTACATGCATCATAAAAAAAGTAGTGAAGTAAAAACACTGTTTTGGAGAAGAAAGACCAAAAAAATGCTATTTTTTGTATCTAATCACTGAGATTTGACGTTGTTTATGAGTCTGTTTCCACCACTTGAGCAGCTCTGATCCTCAGTGGTGCTTCTGGATGGTTCATCAAGACTATTTTGAAAGTTTCATGTTGGGCAAAGTATTTAAAATAATACTTTTACGTCACACTTCTGTGAGCACTTCTTGGCAGTTACTAGTTTAATCACTAATTAGTGATTACATATCGCCTAGATCTGATTATGGCAGCAGAATTAGAGTAAAATAACAAAAGAAAACCAGCAGGAGCAACAACAGAAACTTAATTAATTTAGTATCACCTAATGATCTTTATGCAAGTTAAAAGTTTGGAATCGAGAGTTTTGAGTTTGTCCCTTAAAACTCCCTTTGAAAAAGTGATTTCTTCACAGCACACGTGCAGCTACTGTTGTTCAGTTATGATTAAAACGGTTCCTAACAGGACAAAAAACAAAACAAAATGCACTTTCACTGAGGTGACATACGAGTCGTTACTTTTCACTCCACCATATGCTACTGGCCTGCACTATAAGCCTGACTGGAGAAATTGGACAAGCAGCAATCAACACTGTCACACTGTCAGACGCTCGGCTCAACAGCACAGTGACAGCCAGCTGCAAACACGTTGACACCTATCTCAACTATAGCCAGCAGTCAGCTGGCGCTGCCTGGTGCGGACACACAGGGATACAGTGTACACCACACAAACATAACGATTGAAGGAGAAGTGGGCGGTTTTTAAGCACCGGAGGTACAGCAGCCCAGATGCAATGAAAATAATGAGAAGCCTCACAACAGACTTCCCTGTTCAGCTGTCACAATCACTGCTCCTTGACTCTACTCAGCAGATACCAAACACCTGGCAGCCCACTCCTCATTTTAACACTGAGCAATAACAAACTGTTTAAGGAGCAAATTTTCTGTGTTAATTCAGGCCGGCCACAAAGCCAAGCTCAGCTGCAATCAGGGCAGATGGGCTCATCTTTACAACAAATACAGTTGCTACACATCTGTAAGCTGCTTTGCAACCCACTCCCACTTAACCTCTGACTTAAGTCATATCTGTTGTCACTGATGCCCGTTCTGTTCTTGCTGCTGTTCTCCACACCTTAAGCGTTCAACACCACCAAGAGGTCACAAAACCCATCCATACAACCGAATATAAGAAAGGAATTGGGGGGGGCACCAGACAGATATAATACTTGCCATTCTCTTAAATCCTACAAAATAATAGAAAACATCAGTCAGCCCTTTGAAGACTTTATCTGGAAAAACTCCAGAATGACCCATCAAAATGGAAAACCCTATTACAAACTCTCTCTGGGGTTTTGCTCACCAACATTCAGCTGCAGTTCCTTTGCTGAGGTCCAAGGGGGAGGGGGGAGAAAGGGAGAGAGGAGGAAAAGAAATCGATTCTTTTGACAAAATCAATAAGCACTCTCCTCCAAGGAAAAACAGTGAGTGATGCTCTAAAATAACTTCGGGATCTACAGCTTTGGCCTTGCCTTGGAGCAGCGTGGTAATGGAGGTGAAACTGGATAGGCCTCGTTTACAATGAGCCAAATAAAACCAGGAGTATTTCCTTTACAAACTTGACACCGTGCACAGAATAAACTCTTGAGCCGGGAAGTGTTCGCTTTCTCACTCCTTAGACACACAAGGCTGATTTTTATTGGGAGTTTGTCAGTCTTGTTATATTTATGAAGCAAGAAGATTCAAAGGAATTAATTACACATCACTCG